CGCTTGCAACTTTGTTGTCAGGAATCGCTCCCGAAAAATGCACAATGTTGCAAAGCGGGGCGCCGTGCAACAATGTGCGATTTTCGCGACAACAAAGTTGCAACCCCGATAACGCGTTTTGCAACAATGTGCCATTTTCGGGAGCGACTCACGGCAACAAAGTTGCAAAAAGAGAGATCGCGCTTGCAACTTTGTTGCTGCGAGTCGCTCCCGAAAAATGCACAATGTTGCAAAACGGGGCGGCGTGCAACAATGTGCGATTTTCGCGACAACAAAGTTGCAAACGCGATCACTCTTTTTGCAACTTTGTTGCCGCGAGTCGCTCCCGAAAAATGCACAATGTTGCAAAACGGGGCGCCATGCAACAATGTGCAATTTTCGGGAGCGCCTCGCGGCAACAAAGTTGTAAAACGGTGCCCCGTGCAACAATGTGCGTTTTTCGAGAGCGATTCGCGACAGCAATGTTGCAAGCGCGATAACGCGTTTTGCAACAATGTGCATTCGAAAATAATACAAGTTAACGATGTTACAAGCGAGAATGACGAAGGCAATGTTCCCAGAGTGAAACTGTCCTCTTGCTGCGTTTTTTCTCGTAGAAAAGACCTAGAACAGAACGATTTTGACTTTTAATGCCTTTGAAATAATTGAAACATGCATTTTTCAACTAATTACTCGTGTAATGCTATAAATTATCGTACTACGAATGTTATATTTGACGTAGAAAGGATAAAAAGGAAAATTGGAGCATGATAGGTTGCAGAGTTGCATTAAAAAATGCAATAAACTATAAATACTGAAAGTTACATGTGAAACGTTGCTAAATTACACTCTAAAATTCTATTACAAGTATAAAACATAAATTACTGTATATGGAATTGATAAATAATGCGTATGAGGTAAAAAGATGTAAATAAAAAATAGAATTTCAAAGATTGCATTCAAATGGCTGTTAATATTACCGTTCCTACCTTGTGTATCTCTTATTAATGCAATATTCTGCTAAATATAAAATAAAATTCATATAAATCATGTAATACTTATGCAATACTTCGTGTAAAATGCTTGAAAGTGCACAATCAATCATGCATATTCGTGAAAATGATGGAAAACCATTAAGATGGAATGTTACGCATGTAGTACTCACCCAAATAATATTTAACAATTTCCAAACTACAAAGGTTATATTAATGAAAAGTATAGAAGAAACTAGCTAAAGGAATAGCCTCTCGAACGCATAGATGGAATGTTACGCATGTAGTACTCACCCAAATAATATTTAACAATTTCCAAACTACAAAGGATATATTAATGAAAAGTATAGAAGAAACTAGCTAAAGGAATAGCCTTTCGAACGCATATATATAAGTGCATAAATTATTTTAACAAAGCTACAAAATTAATGAGAAACCACATGCGTGTGCAGCATCGCTCCCGACATCACGTACTAAAATTGTTAATAACTAATTATTGAGAGGGTTTCAAGCACTAAAAACAATATGTGAAAGTTGCTGAAGGTCCACACTTCATTCTTCAACTCTAAAAGTTCACAGAATCGTCCTCAATAATGAGTTATTAATGATTTTTCACCGACCGGCATAATTTAGGGCCTGGAAGGCGGAGCTGGGCAGCCAGCGGACCAATAGGAAGCGTTCTCTCTCTGTCCTTCTCGCACACTAGTGCCTTCCTTGTCTATTACCTCTATTTATATTCTGTTATCTTGTTAAAAAGTCGTAATTCGAGTCACCAAACACGAGATGGCGTTACTCTAAGCCGCCATTTTTTTCTATCCTTGTCCACCGCTATTCCTTTCCTCGTCTAACTCCTTTCTTTAGTGCTATCCTTATTTACCGCTATTCTTTTCCTTGTTTAACGCGTTCTCTAGTGCTATCCTTTTCTCTCGCTATTATTTTCCTTGTCTAACTCATTTCTATAGCGTTATCCTAGTCTCTCGCTATTATTTTCCTTGTCTAACGCGTTCTCTAGTGCTATCCTCATTTCGCGCCATTTCTTTCCTTGTCTGACTTATTGCTGTGGTGTACATGGACCGAAACATTGCATTGACAGTATGTTAAAGTTACTTACTGCGCCAAAAAGCATTGTTCATTGAACTTTAATAACTGGATTACTTTATAGACAATTAAAAAAAATGCAAAATACGTTTATTACGAGAGAAATGGCTGACAGTGTAGGATAGGAGAGTAAACGTTTGAGGTTATATATTTGCGATGTGTATAATGTAACGTAATTTTGTGTAAAAGGCTTTGTACGTCGATTTATGTTAAACATTTGTTAACTAAATACACACCACTGTGCGTATAGATTTAACACGAAAGTAACTACACATTGATTTTGTGTGCAATATTTACGTTGCAAAAAGCAGACATACGTTTGCTGAATAAATAATGATTATTTCTTTTCGAGTTTCTTCGAGAATGTAGAGGTTTATTGTAACTTGGGATAGTAATAACGTTCAGCATTAGTTGGATCTCATGAAACACAAAAAAAACAGGTGAAGAATGTGTTTTATTTGACATGCAACATTTTAGTATTATTTGTTCTCTTTATTGGAATCAATACAGCATGTTTTTAAAGATTAATTGCCCAGTTTTTATATTTATCATGTGATTCTTACCAAATGATTATCTTGTATGCAGTTGGACCACCGTATATTATACCATAGAAGCTGAAATTTTATTCGTCAGAGCCTAATTCTTCTTGCAATTAAGGCTAGATGTTTTGGATTAAAAGTTTCACCACGTTCCTGTTCAGTTGATTGATTTAACTCTTCTATGTAAGTATCTCATTGTAACAATGAACATGTTGGCAAAGATTAAGCATTTGAATATTTGATTTAATACAAATTGATTCATATTTTCAGCTGAACTTGAATATTATGATTGTACCAGGACAAACAAAGCATTCAGAACTTACAATGCATAAAGAATATAACAAGTGCTCTGAGCTTGGAGCATTTGTTAGGACAAAGAACAAGAGATACATGCTTCTAATACCTAGACCTAAATACCTAATAGAATTGACAAACTTTTGAATTAAGAATTTTCGAGCAGCTATATAAATAAAACGTTTAGCTAATTAAAAATTGCAAAATTACATTTATTATACGCAATTCTTTTGTAAACTTAGTTAACTGTTTGCTACGTTCTCGCATATCGACAAACACCCTTCTTTGTCGACGTGTGAAAACATACTGACGAAGCGGTAAAGAAGGTCACTGTTATAGCGTTAACAAAGTGCCTCTGAATGTTGTTTTAAATCACGAGACGAAACCATACTGTATCTGATAGGATTCTATTTACGAATAAAAGAAGAGAGACTGATTAGTCAATTATTAGTTCATTTTAATTATTACTTCAAGTTTTGACCTGATTTTCGTGCAAATAATTAATAAATACGTACTTGTATCAAAAGTTTAACTTTAAACGTAAGTTCAACTAATTGCAATACCTTTCTATCCGATCTATCTTCATGCTTCTCTCTTCTTGGTCACGATCTGTCTTCTTCATGCTTCGTCTTCGTCAGAGATAAGTGATGCTGCATCTGCATCGTTGGAGATATCAATAAAGCAACGTGGAGTATTATATTACAATAGAACAATAAAAAATTGCCATGTAATGTGATACATTTTAATCTACTTTAACATGTATGATACCTCATTTGGGGAAAATATATTTTGCTACCTTTCAAAAATGAAACAAAATTGAGAAGAGAAGAATTGAATTCGACCATTTCGCTGTTCGTTTAAATGTAATTTAACTCGGAGAGAATTTAGCGAGTGCATCACTTCTCTTATGCAGCCTCGGAGAATTGGAGTAGCAGCTTTAAGAGATCCTTTTTCACGCGTAAGATAACTTATCCACCTTGTTCTTCTTTCGCAAATGGAGCATGCTTGTTGACACGGTTTTAGTTACGAGAATCATGCATTAAAGATGAGCGAACAAGAATGCTCGACCAATTTTTCATCAAGAAAATAAGCCACTGTGTTTCTAGTGAAAAAATTCATCCTCTTATAAAACACGGTTCCTTCGAAATTATTCATTTTTTCCAAGGACCTTAAAAAGAATATTTACTCGTTCATAAAATACAGTATAATAAATATAAGCACTCGAATCACTCAAAAATATTTTAAACCATTGAAACTATATGTACGAAAAATTTTGAACACCGATTAATTACCATCACTGTAATCCCAAATAATTTCCAATAAATAGTGTCACACGAAAGACACTTTTCAAGCTTCGAATGCAAATTGTTGACTGAAAAGTGTCACCAAAAATCGCATAATTCTAGGGGATGATATTTTCCACATTAACCAGTGTAATAAGCGTCGATAATTAAGCACACAACGTAGCAGTTTGTAATTTATGGTGTATTGTTCATCGAGTAAGAGGCACGGCGGTAATTTCGTTGACCGACCCGTGAAAATTTACGGCTACTTACTTTCTTTGTTCGTACTTTTGCCTCAGAGGACAGTCACGCAACAATTTATTTCCTTTTACACTCGACCCATTTTTTCCTTCGCGCGATTTATGGACAGGCTGAATAACAAGCGTGATAATTTATTAAACCGCGGCTTTTCCTTTTTTCTTTTAGTCGCACGAATCGCCCACAATGCAGACTGGTTTCAATTCCGAACAAAGGCGTATTAACGAATCTCCGAATGATAAAATTGACGCATTCCCCGTTCAAGATAACATTCACCTAGGCGCGAACAAATTTTTACGATCGCGAAATTTACGGGATGACAAATATCCCGGTTTAATCGCCCTTTAAAACGATTCCAGGTTGATGGAAAATCGATTAACGATCGATACGTGTATTTTAATTACCGGTGGCTCTATAAAGTTCAGATTAACACGCTGTAAATGTTCTTGTTACCGAGGTTACTGCGTGAAACTTTCGAAGAGGAGAAACAGAAGAGTTTAAGCGATTTGAAATTTTGAAGAAAGAGCCCAACATTGTTGTGAATTTGAAGTTCAAGTGATTTCAAAAATTCCAAGTTGAAGGAGTATTTAAACCTTGAGCGCTCGAATAAAAATTTACCTTAATTTAGTGTCTACAGATAAGTGATAAACGATTCTTAAAACAAGAAATTCGGTCAAGAAAGGGTTAAAATTTAAGTCCACGAACGAAATGTTTAAGAATTCTGGAAGATCTCCTTAACACCAGAACAGTAATTTCATTTTTCATTTCATTTCTCATTTTTTTAGAATCGTGTGAAATTCTGGAAGATCTCCTTAAATCTCTCCTTGGCAAAATCTCTAGATTAAAAGAAGTTCTCCTTAAAAAGATCTCCACACTGGACCACCCAAACCGCGAAAACGACGTATTTCAGATTTCTTTAAATTACAGAAACGATTAAAACGCCTTTGGCCAGGTATAATATACTACACACTAATTTTCCATTAATCTTTCCAATTTCCAAGTCCTCTACACAGTACACCTAAACAACCCAGAAGGGAGAAAATATACCGAGGTGGGTGAGGAACGTCGTTACACTGTTTTCACCTCAATTTATTAAAGTATAAGTGTAGGGTCGGCGTACAATTGGTCCAGAAAATGCAATCGTTTACTTTGTTAATTGTCCCGGCGGCAGCGGTTCGGCGGGTACGTCGCGATGGTCGGTAGAGGAACAAACTGTCTGGAGGTGTAGGCGTACTGGGTTTTTATATTGTTAGGACAGGAAGACAGGAGTAGCGATGGATAAAGATAGGAGTGGAGAAAGTGGTGGAAACGGAAAATTCGTTCGAACCTGGATGTCACATGTGCGCTTCTTAGGCTACTCGAGGACGAAGGCAAGTCTTAACCCGGGGAGAGACAAAAGAACAGAAACTAAAATCCGAAAGTTCGCGTGGAAAAATAGAACGAGGTTCGGTAAGGGTTTGTTGACGACGACGTACCCGCCACAATACTATAAAATTTACGTTTAACTCCATTTGCTCCAGTGTTAAATCTCCTAAAAAAGGAGATCCTCAGATCATCACCTTCGACTTAAGGCACCAGTCAACTCCTTCTCACAGATCTCTCAACTAAAACTTGTTAAAGCAGTCGTTATTTCCGGTTTTTGCTAGACATGCACTACCCGCTATTTAACGTTCCACGTGCACCAACACACCGGCAATATGTTTGTGCACGTAGGTACGAGCAACCATCAGGTGCGTCGCCAGATAACGCTTAGGTGCATTTCTGTGCAGGAACAATACGGATTCACGGGGTGTGGAGAGGGATGAGAAAAGGGAGAGACAGGGAGAGACAGAAGAGGGAACACACTCAGCGTGCAGTCGGGCCTTTGTGCCAGCTGGGATCCTGTAGATGGAACATTGAGCCGACAATATGCCTGTTAAACCTTACGTAACGCGATCTCCTTGTCCCTATCTGTGTTTACGCATGTGTGCGTGGCGAACGGAAGTTAAGCCTTTGCGCAATGATACGAGAGCTTTTCTCACAGCCGTGATTCGCGGCCACCGTGATAAATTAATTGACGTGTGCTGGATGGTGGACACACGCGGATTTAGGGGATATCGCGATATTGGACGCAGGGTGTATTGGATTAAGCGTGAAGATTGGGGCGCTTTTTTTTCCTTCCTCCAGTCTGCCATTTTGTCACGGCTCTGCGTTCGAGAAAAAGTTTACAGAGAGAGAGAGAGAGAGAGAACTGCTAATGAGTTTGTTGTAATTGTAATACGCTTTATGAAAATTCTTCTGGTCTACCTACCCCTCTGTGCTATTTTCTTATATTAAAACTGAGGTTGCACGGAGAACGCGAGCAATGTGTTATACCTGCTGTAATTAGAATAATTCCGCGTAATTGTAATACGAGATTTTTTCTTCGGATAATTGTACATACAGAGAGAGAAGACTGTGTAAAGGGTGGTGGAATTTTCATAATTATTCCGCGATAATCAGCGTAGGCATCGGTTGAAATTGAATTCACGGATGTAGAGGGTAGAAGAAAGTGTTCGCGATGAGAATTAACGGAATCTATTAAAATTCACGATTGAAGTATGTAGCTGGGCGTAAGAGCTAAGCAGAGAAAACCGTCCCAACCTTTGTAACAGTCCACGAGGATTTATTGTACTAAACGTAGCTTAACCTAAGCGACTTCAATCGTTCAGGAGGATTTCATCCGTTCGAATGGTTGCAGGCAAAGAACATTACGATCTTCTTCCACTTTTGCTGAACTAAACTTGCAAATTTGCTCAAAGATAACGTAATCACCATGTCTCTATGATTAATCAAACACACGTAATGGTCATATGAAATTATGTTCCAACGATTGACGAGCTCTCGTAGAAAACACTGTAAGTGTAAAAATTGAAAAATTTTGCTTTTTTTTATCAAAAAATGTTCTGCGTGACAATGGGAACACTGTGGTGTGCAATGTAAGTGCAATTTTCCTTTGTACGTTGTTACCAATAGTGCTAAAATATGCCTGCACTGGTACGTCTAACATTTTTTCTGTAAAGGACACTGTAAGTGTTGTTACGAATCGCGATATGACCCGTTCAGTGCACAAATCGATTAACTCCATAAAATAAGAAGTCGAGAAATTATTATAAATATAAAAAGTTATGACTATACCAAGTGCTTTGACACTTAAATTTAAGATTTTTCAAAAAGTGGAGTTAATCGATTTGTGGACTGAACGGCTCATATGTTTGTTACGAAACCGATAATTGTCCCTCTTTTTGAGTCAGACCATTTAAGGAATCCACTCGGGATAGGGGACTCAGGTAGTGCTCGGAAGATAGATTATTAACGGACAACAGTTTGCTGTTAAAACTATATATTTGCGAATGAACGTGAACAGAGCGCGAAATGTCTAGGCTTACTGATAGGAAAATTGTGTGTCGTGTCGTATGGTGTTCGCTATTTTATAAACTACGTGTGTGTTGTGATTGATGGTGTGAAAACTGTCGTAGGTGGTGGAAGATTTTTTGGTGTGTTTGGGGTGTGTGAAAGTGGGGAAT